AAAAAAAAGAGAAAAAAAGAGAGTTGTCCAATGAATACACATACCTGAAAAAAGTATTCTGGTATCTTTCCAGAAAAAAAAAGACTAATAGTAATCGGTGTCATCCTACAAGCCTGAAGCAAAGATAGCCACACGGACATTACAAAAATAAGAAGGTAAATACTCTAAACACTATTGGAACAGTCTCCATTTCATATTCTGCACCCCCCACTCCGCCGGCCCCCAATCAAGACAAAAATTTCTCATCTCCAAATAGTTTGAGAGGCATCCAAGCCATTTTATAAAGCAAGGCTGGAATAACAACCACAGGGGAAAAAAGTCTCTAATAATGAAGCTAATATCTAAGAAAAGTGGTGTTCAACCAAATTTAAAAAGCATGACTAACTCTGCCATAAGCTGCACTAGAGGAAGAAAACAATCTAACATATTTTTAAGTTAAAAACTAAAAACTAATATACAGAATTTTACATGTTTACTAAATAATGATGCTAGATGGCAACAGTGACATTTCTGAGTACCTTCAACAGTACTCTTCTTACTTTGAAATGTTCAACCTTTACTCAGAAAAGAATCCAAACTCCAAAGTTCCTGTGGATAAAAAAATAGCTTTGGTGATAACATACAGCTCCGTAACCACGTTATTCCTAAATTACCAATGTATACTCAACACAAACTCTCATCTTAAATTTAGGATTTGTAAAAGTCAGGTAAAGGTTCAGTTTCACAATGAACTTTGGCCAATAATAGTTGAGCCTGCTTTTGCGTGAGCATTAGCAGTCATGACGCTGCAGAGGGCTGCCTCGGGAAGCTGACCTGGCAGACCACAAGAGTGCTAAAGCCAGGACGAAGGAGGGGAGAAAGAAACACACTGTCCAGATCTCCCCTTTCAGCAGCAACACACAACTGCACATTGAATCAGGCCTGACACTCTGTGCAGACAGGTCCCATAACTACTGTAATAATTAAAGAACAACTATCCTGTGCCAGACTGAGTCCTACTTCTTCTGGCAAGCAATACACCATCTGGATGGTGGAAATTACAAGATTCAGCTACAGAGGTCAAAGACTGCTATTACTTTGCCAACCAGGGCCTCTGAGCTCACAGCTCACTACAGTGTACAAGGCCTGGGAAATGTGAGCCGGTTGCTCTATCCAGCTGACTCACCAATACCCTGGTATTGCCAAAACAGCCCTAAGATGTCACCCTAGTTCTGATGAAGAAAACTTTAAGAACTGAAAGAAGAGAGGCACCAAATAGATAATAATACATGAAATACAATGCCAGTTTTGGCAATCTGATGATATAACCAATCCTCTGCTGTTGTAATTGACAACTCCAATTTGATGAAGATTTGATCCTCTCAATGAATTATTGCAGAGCTGCAGATATGTATACAGACATACCTTTCTTCCTATGTAGAAAACAGCTTGGAAAGAAAAACGCCTGATTGGCTCAATGGTAGGTAGATAAATCTTCCCTTCGCTGAGCAAGATATTCTAAAATTTTGTCCTACAGCATCAAATTTCTCCTACGGAGTTATTTAATGTTCTGAAAGAAGGAGAAATTATCCAAAACAGAAGAAGATGGGCCATAACACTCCAAAAAGGACTTGGATAATGCCCTACATGCTGTAAGAAGACAAACTCTGAGGAGCCCAGGTTGGAGGATATCTTCAACACACAAGCAAGCACTTGTGGGGTACCTCCTTGCAAAATATGGATTCTGATAGATGAATAAAGACCAAGAGCAACCTGTCTTGTATGAAACACTGACTCTACTGCCAAATGTTGATGAGCATCAAAAAGTTGAATGAAAGTTTAATTTGTTTTATTGGATCCTGATATACTGGTAAGAGATCTGAAAGTCTGATCAATGATCACATGGACAGAAATGTCAATGCACTGCAAGAACAAGTAAGGCCTGATGAGTAACTTTGACAGTTACTTTGGAAATCAGCAAGATAGAAGGGAAGGTCCGTTTCACGGCAGAGGTAGGATTTCCAACAACAGTTTCAGTTGCTTAACCACTCCAGAAAAGTACGATCAACCCACACCAATGCATGTCCAACATTGCGTCTTGCACAACCTTTACCCTGGAATTGGCAGGAGTGCTGTTGGCAGAAAGATCACCTTTATCAACAGGACCTAGGTATTTGCCACAGATTTCTGATTTGGAAAACATCAGGCCCAATTTTCACGATCTGTCCATGAGACATCTATTGAGCCTTACATCCTTTGACTTTCAAGTATGAAATGAGATACAAACTGTGGGCATATATTCTTCCTCAAGATGCTGCATTACTATTTATACCCTCACACAGAAATAAAAAGTAACATCAGGTGCACATATGGCTTGCACAGATACTGCTGCTAGTTCTGAGGCCTGGTGGGCACAGAATGCAATACTTGTATTTGAATGCCAGTTATCATTACTTACTCACTATTTTGAACAAATTCATTAACTTTCTTTTATTTTTATATCCTCAAAAGCCAAAACAGCATATAAGCAGTAGCTTTTTCAAATTCCCTTTCTGTGCTAGAAGAGCAATATGGAAGAGTGAACCACCCTCAAGTTAAATGCTAACCCTGCCGTAGATATTTGACCTTTAAATTCCAGGAGTACACAAAATTTTGCCTGTGCAAAGTTAGCATCAGATCTGCAAGGTGCTACAGCTTAAAGCTTGCTACCACCAAAAGGATCTCTCCCAGTTCACCTTCTCCTGTCCTTCTCCCAGCCACACATGCTCTTAGCTTCCTTAAAACCAGTTCCAACATTCATCTGGTATCTTAATAACCCTATTCAACCTACTAAACAGCATTACCAACAGGTGGGATGAGCACCAGAGCTTGTGGCTGGTGAACACAGCTGGGAAGAGAGAGAGAGAGACTAGGTCAGTCTTGACACAGGCTAAACTTTGGATCAGCTTAACTGTAACACAAAACTGCATCATTAGTTTTATCCCCAAAAATGAATGTATTCTTTAAATTAAAATTAATGAGCAGATAGAAAATTTGCTGACAACCTACTCATACCAACTTAAAATGTGCTTTTTTCCCTCCTTTCACCTCCAGTCCTCCCTGCAGCAGGTTCTCCGTCTTCCTTCCCCCATTAATAATGTTCTCAGATGACACAATGCCTGCAAGGATCTGCATGCACACAATTTAGTGATGAAATCCAAACAATATACTGCTAAAAACTGGCAAATAGCTGCAATATATGAACACTCAGGCAACGTGAGAAAGACCTTAGTCAAGGTCTAAGCCAGAAGAACCCTTAGAAAGAAGCAATAGCCCACTATATTTGAAGATCTGTCTCTGATATTTCTAGCAAGCAGACAAAAGCTGGAAAAATAATAGAATGCTGCACCTACATCACTGTAAAGCTTTGGTGTTTATGACTCTATTCATTTTATACTTCAAAATAAATACAGACTTCACACTGACACGTGCGTTGCTTACTTTTTCTCAGCTAAGGATCACATTTATTTAATGTGAGTTTGCTTTGGATGTTCCCAGGATCCTGCCTCCCACCAACAGTGACCTTCAGGAAGAAGTAGAAACATCAAGCTGCGAGCACTGTACATTTTTGCTTCTCCAGCTCTCAGGAACAGCCTGAAGTTTACATACTCCGATCTTTTCAACTAGCTGGTGACAGCTAGTGCTGCCAGTCAGCATTCAGAAAACTCCTACACATGACAGGTAGCCAAAGGTAAACCACCGTGCAGATGTAAAAAAAGGCAACAGCAGCAGGCATGCCTGGGAACCTGGACCTTTGCCGTAGCTTTTGAGCGGCTTTTCAGTCCCCCAACCCACTCTGGGATATACCACCACCCCCACTTTTGGCAAGTTGGCTGTCATTGAGCTGTAAATACTGTGAGTTGAAAGCTTAAAAATAGCTGCTGCACAGGCTGGAAAACCTATCAGATGATGTCAAGGCGCGTTTTGAGCCCTCCCCTCCCCCCCACCACTTCCTTTCCTATGTCACTTTCTCATTACCTCACTGTCTCTAATTCTGAAAGTGCTTCTATCTGCATCTTTCAGCTGCCAAAGTGAACTTTACACAGCAGCTAGAGCCAAATCAGCCCCCAGCACATATATAAACTCTGCCACCCACCCCATTCCCTGGGATTCAGCCAAGATGTCAGTTTGCCTTTCCCTGAAAACACACACATGAAATCCGCGATCCCTATCTGCAAAACACAGGAGCGAGAAGAATCAGTTCAGCCCAAGGAATGCAACGCTGATCTGCATTTGAT